AATACTACTCAGCCATAAAAACTGACAACATAACGCCATTTGCAGCAACATGGATGCTCCTAGAGAATGTCATTCTAAGTGAAGTAAGCCAGAAAGAGAAAGAAAAATACCATATGAGATCGCTCATATGTGGAATCTAAAAAACAAAAACAAAAACAAACAAACAAAAACAAAGCGTAAATACAGGACAGAAATAGACTCATAGACTGAGAATACAGACTTGTGGTTGCCAGGGGGGCGGAGGGTGGGAAGGGATAGACTGGGATTTCAGAATTGTAGAATAGATAAACAAGATTATACCGTATAGCACAGGGAAATATACACGAAATGTTATGGTAGCTCACAGAGAAAAAAATGTGACGATGAGTGTGTATATGTCCATGAATGACTGAAAAATTGTGCTGAACACTGGAATTTGACACAACATTGTAAAATGATTATAAATCAATAAAAAATGTTAAAAAAAAAGAATCAAAGACTGAGCAATCACAGAGGCTCTTAGGAGCTGCAGCATTCATGGGAAAAGGCCACTTGGTAACCATGTGACCAGCCTTGCGAGCAGGTGGCTGAGCGATCATGGGCCCCCAGTGCGCCTCTCATTTGCTGTGCATCCGGGGATCTTCTTCCCCATCAATATGACAGAAGTTGTTTAATGAGTAGCTCCGAATAGCTTGTCAGCACTACTAAGGGCGTCTTATCAAGCTTACCCTGCCAGGGACTCTGCCGTCATGACCAGGACCTGCTTAAGGCCTGGTGCTTACAAACGGTCAAGGGAAGTTGCTTGTGCTGGTTTCAGGGGCCAAATTCTGACTTGGAGCTCACTACCACCTTGTTACCTTCCTGGAAATGCCCTCCTCCCAATTCTGTTACTTAAAGCGTGTATCCACATATAATCACTCTAAGACAAATTTTAACTGTTTTCCCCCTACTATTCCCTTCTAAAGCAAAAGTAAAAAGTCACGCAGAATGTGGGCCCTACAGCAAGGACAAGTCTCACCTTCTAGACAGGTGGCAGGCGGTGAGGGGATTTCTAGAAGTAGCGACTCTGGCTGGATGTTGAGGGTCAAGCATTTAAATCTATGACACCACATGTGGAAAAGAAACTGGCAGAACAAATTTCAGACTGGTGACATCATTCTTGCTCTGTTTCTACCACACCAGTAAAACCAGTTGGAAAAACAAAAAATGGAATCAACTTGGCTGTCACGATGACACCAACTGATGGCTGGCCTGTTGGCGTTCCTGTTTGTTTTTTTTAAATAACAGGATCAAATCATTATTTAAGTAAATGCATTACCTAATTGTTGTGCTAATGTGTGATGAACGCCCTTCACATGTTTCAGTTAGGATCAGCCCAGGTGCTTGTATGTAAACACACCATCCCTAACACCCTCTCCTGTCATTTGCTTGTTTCAAATATTCCCCGATAGACTAACAGGCATCAAATGACTCAAGGCACAGAAAAGCAGGACACCGCCCAGTGTGTGTTCTTGGTGACCAGGGTAACGTTCTGTTCAAGCAGCCAGATATGCTGTCCACACCATTGCCCATGGCTGAGCATTCATAAGGAAACCAAGTCCCAGCTTTAGACTCGACTGAACCTTGGGCAACATGCAGATCCCACAAGTCATCATCTGCTACCCAAAGCTGGTCACAGAGACAGGGAAGCCACTGGGGAGAGCCGGTCCAGTGAGGTGCTGCCCAGCAAGCCCACTTCAGACTCCCTCCTGCTCCCATGATTTATAACAGCAACCGTCCCTCCTTTCATGCACTGGAGTCTTTCATCTTCGAGATTTGCAAATACCAGCATGTAATCCTCACAACGTCCTTGTGAGGCAGGCATGTTACGATCCCTCCTGTTAAAGATGGAAAGATGATGATGGTGATAAAAATTAAAGCACATCAAACGGTCTCAGCACCATCACATCAAAAGACCTCTGGCTTTCCCCGGGGGGAAAAGTGGAAACTGCCGCACATATCCTGATCTGTTTTACTAGTCTGACACAGACGCTGAGGTCCAGCTCACTGTGGAAGTCTGCAGCACAAGGAGTTGAATTATTACATTGTTCAAAGGGGCAGAAAACTCTCTTGGGAAGTCAGGCATTCTTTTTCAAGTGTTTTATTTGTGAAAAACAGCAGCAGAGTCCAGAACCGTTCTCCTGATTCCTTCTGGTCCCCGGCTGTGCCTCACCCAGAATGAGGAGGTGACATTCAGCCTCGGGGACTAACAGACATCCTCCTGGACCCCCGAGTGGCCATGGAGGAGCCTGGAGAGACCTCCAGGCTCCCCAGAGAGCCCTGGGCACAGCAGCCTGCAGGGGAGCCGCTTTTACCGAAACCAGCGCCTGGAACGGAGTGGAAGCTGTGTCTTACGCCTTTGGGTCTTAAAAGCCCATGTAAAACTGAACATGCCCCTCTAAAGACCCACAGCCCATAAACAGAATTGGGACTGGGTGGGAGGAGGGATCAGGGAGGGGGACTGGCAGGGCGAAACTGCCGAGGTTTCTCCCGTGTTCCAACGAGTCCTTGACTCCTGGAAGGGGCGGTGAAGGGCTCCCGCACCGCGCCCTGCGCAAGCTGGGGCCTGTGGCGCGGCTCCTGCTCTCGGGGAGCCCGGCGCCAACGTGCGGCGGGGACTTTCGGTTGGGACGCGCGGCGCTGCAGCATCCCCACCCGGGGCCATTTCCCCCAACCCAAGGCCTTTCTGGAATCTCTCCCCGCCCTCCTTTCCCTCGTTCTCGCTTGCGCGCGGGCGCACAGACGCGCCCCAACCTTTGCACTCGGACTTCGCTCCAGCCCCACTGGAGACCCCGGCCTTGCAGCGCCCCCATCCCTTTTGGAACACCTTTCGCAAGTGATGAATCCACCCCTATGAATGGAGGGAAGGCAAGGGCCCAAGGGCTGCCCAGGGTGGACGCGGAGCACGTTTTCTTTTGGCGGCGGGGACCCGGCGGCCGAAGGCTGTGAGCCCCTTGCAGGAGGAGCTGCCCTAGGGTGGGCGGCCCGGGAGGAAGGCAGGAGAGGGACTGGAGCCGGTGGGGCCGGGCAGCCGCGGCGGGCGGAGGAGGGAGAGCGGGGCGGAGCAGGGGCTGCGGTGCCCGGCGCCCTTTCAAGTCCCCTGCCGGTCCCCGGAGGCGCCCC